AGGGGAGTGTCGAGCGTGGCCGCCGGCTGAGGGAATTCAAATCATATACGTAAGGCGGGCGCTTCGTACTCTTTCTTTCTCTCTCTCTCTCTCTCTCTCTGAGGAAGCATCGAATGGGAGTAGTTCGTCAATGTGCATTGTGAGGAAAGCTCGAACTTGCGTCTAACACATGAGGCCATTGGATTGTGTGGACACCCCAGTCGGGTCCTCCACGTGTGAGGTCGTCGACAGGGACGTCGGGACGAGTCGGGCGCCTCAAGAGTTCGGGGGTCAGTTGAAAGAGGGGCGTGCGTCGACGTACGACTCTGTCCGCCGCGCATTGTGGCCCAGACTCTAGCCTCTCGAAAGCCACGCTTCCATACAGTCAGACGTGTGCCGCTGGAGGAAATAGTCATGGCGAGCGTCACTGAGCTTCTTTCGCTTGTGAACACCGCCCGCCGGGCGGCCGAGGGAGAGCATCCCGAATTAGTGCAGCAGGTCCAGAGCTATTTGAAAGACGTGGGCCGCACGCACTTGGAGGCGGCCCGGGTTCCAGCGGAGGGCGTCGGCGAGAACAACCTTGAGCGGCTGGCTGAGCACCTCCTCGCGTTAGAGACGTTGGAAGCCGCGGGGAAGAGACAGGGTGGCCCAGCGTCTGGCTCCAATAGCGATAATCGTGAGTCTGCCACGGTCGTCGAGGACCCAGTGATCCGCGAGGGTGGCATCATCATCACGCTCGCGGGCAACATGCCGCCAATGACCCGGAAGTCTGTCCGTCCCTGGGTTGAGTCGCAGGCCCCGCAGAATTTGCTTTCTCGCTTGACCAAGACGATTGCGGTGCCAGGGGGCAAGAAGGTCCGGCAAGATTTCGAGAACGTGACGGAGTCCGAATTAGAAGCCCTGAAGGCTGCGTTCGCGCAGAGCGGCACGGTTGCGCGGGCCCCCCCCGAGGAGTTCGCAAAGCGGAAGGCGTACGAGACCGAGCATGGCGCCAACAAGCGCTCTCGAGCTTCTGCGGTGGGCAACCTGGGCCGCACGCTCGACGTCGTGGAGTCGGTCTCGAACAGTGGGGACCATGAGTTCATGAGGCTCGCGATGTCTGCGGTTGTGACTTCGCAGCGGGTCGCGGCGCATGGGTTGCGCGAGTTGGCTGAGGACCCTCTCGCGCGGAACAGGGACAATGAGGACATGTGAGTCGTGGCGTTTGGAAAAGGGAACGAGGAGAGACACGGGCTCCCCTGCCGACAGCGGTGGCGTACGAGCCCTGCATGTACAGCTGGTGGCGCGCGTTCTGCACCCAGTTCTGATCGCTGCTCGGGCGGCGAGGTTCTCGGCGGGACCGCCGCTGTCTCACCTTCCATCGTATTCCATTAGTTTTTTTGTCCGCGTGCTGCCTGCTTAACGTGATTGGCGCTTCAGTTCCGCTTCCTTTTGCGTCGTTGCTGCCGGCTTGCATGTCGCATCGCACGTGTGAGTATTTGCGTGCGCGTGTGTCAGCGCATGGGTCTGCACAGCTACGCGTGTGTAGTCCTCGTGCATTTGCTTCGTCGATCGGTCCTTTTTCGAGTGCTTACTCTGCAACCACATATATACGTGCATACATATGTATGTGTGTGTATGTATATACATACACGTGAGTATATCATGGGGCTGTCGCTGTTTCCCGCGCTGTCATGACTTCTCTCTTCGTCTCGCTCTTTGTGTTCCCTTGTATCCCGTCCGCTCGACGCCGAGGTTGCTTGCCTCAGGAGCGCGCGCGCTTCTGTATTGTTGCAGCCCTGGGGACTGTGAGGCCAACGTGCTTCCAGTCGTGTGCCGCGCGCTGCTTCGTTTGGTATCATCCAGCGTGGATTTCTCTGCCGTTGCCAGGTCGGGTCGCCAAAGAGTCGAACGCGTCGGAGACCACCGATCCTCGAATCTCGAGGAGCGGAGGAGAAGGAGGAGGAGGAGGAGGAGATGAAAGGAGGAGGAGGTGGAGGAGGAGGGGGAGGAAAATGAGGAAGGAGGAGGAGGAGGAAGAGGGTGAGGATGATGAGGAGGAGGAGGAGGAGAAGGAGGAGGGGGGGGGAGGAGGAGGAGGAGGAGGAGGAGGAGGAGGAGGAGGAGGAGGAGGAGGAGGGGGAGAAGGAGGACGAGGGGGACGAGGAGGCAGAGGAGGAGGAAGAGGAGGAGGAGGAGACAGGGGGAGGAGGAAAAGAAGAGGAGGAGGAGGGTGACGAGGGGGAGGGCGAAGAGGAGGAGAAGGAGGAGGAGAAGGAGGAGGAGGAGGAGGAGGAGGAGGAGGGGGGGAAGGAAAAGGAGGAGGCGGAGGAGGAGGAGGAAAAGGAGGAGGAGGAGGAGGAGGACAAGGAGGGGGAGAACAGGAGAAGCCCTTAACAAACCGGTAACAAACAAAGAACGGCGACGGAAACCGGCCAAACAACGGCGACGGAACCCGTAACAAAAACGGCGTCGGAACCGGCAAGGAAACGGCAGAACGGAACCGGTAAAAAAACGGCCCTGTCGTTTCCAGGGCCCACGAAGGTTTCAAAAGAACATGTCGTGGTAGAGCTATAAGGATGCTGGGACGGCCGGCCCCTGCTCAGCTTGGTGGCTCCGCAGCCCGCCGCGAGCGGGTCCCCCGCGAGGCGGCCCCGCGAACTGACGGCCGCCCCTGGGCGCGCGCGGGCCGGCCAGGAGCTCGGCGGGGCGGCGGCGAGGCGGGGCCAGGACGAGGATGGCTTCCCCCGAGATCCTGGCGTCTCAACCACAGACCCTTTCGAGTCATGAGAAAATCACGACGGCACGTGTTTCATGATTGTTGGCCTCTGGGGGCCCCTGCCGGGCTTCGGGAGCGCGAAAAAACGACTCAGGATGCAAGGCCGATCATGGGGAAAGGGTCGGGGCCTTTGGGGGTCGACGTGATGAAAAAATCATGACGTCGGGGGTTTGGGGCCGTTCCGAGCCCGGCGTTCTCGCCTTTTCTCCGATCCGGCCGGAAGAATGGCGCGGGAAGGTGGTGGGTGTCTATAGGCTCCAGGCAGCGTTTTGGACGGTGCTGCAATTCTCGTCGCTACACGTCGCATCCCAGGTTCGGGCCAGGATACACTTGAGAAGCTCCCAGATCTGGCGGCTCTGGGGGGTGTCTCGGGCGCCGCGGTCGGAGCGCTCCGGGACGTTCCGAGAGCGTTCCGGAGCGATTTGGAGCGGGTTCGTCCTCGTCCTAGCCCTTCTGCGAGCCGGGGCGCTGCAGCCCGCGAGGCCCAGCGGGTGGGCTGGGCGCCGCGCCCCAATCGCCCATGGTAACCCATTTGACTCCCAATCTCTCGGCGGCGAGCGAGCGGGGGAAGTGAGATCGACAAGGTCTTCTCAGAAGGCGGCGGGACTTTTCAGATCTGCACGAACGAAATGGGCACGGAAAGAACGGGTACACTGCCCAACAGCAGCTCCTGTTCATTTTGATCAGGACTTGCTGTCCGCGCCGCCGCGGCCTGTGTCCATTTGAGACAGAGGGCCGCCTGCCCAACAGCGGTCGCTGTTGGTTTGGGACAACATGTGCTGTTCGGCATTGTACCCATTTTTTCCATGCACATTTCGGGCGTCCAAATCAGAAGCCTTCCGGCCGTTGAGAAGTGTTTCTGTGTCTTCGGGAAAGGCTGAGAAAACTTGTCAGAAGACCCGGGGACTTTCGAGCCGTCTGAGAAGAAATCCGTCTCCTTCTCACCCGCTCCCGGGCTCGCCGCCGAACTTCGCAGGCGAGTTTTCTCACCCACCCCCCGTCTTGTCGACGAACAATTGCAGCCGCCCAGAACACGGGGGTGCACCCCACGGGATACACCTCTGGCTGTTCGGACGCACACCTGTCGAAGAGGGACGCCCCCCACACATCGTACATCCTTGGGTCGGGCCCCAAATTGTTTGTCCATTCGAGAACCTCAGGAAGCCTGGGATTGGGGGCGACATATCCCCCGTGACCAATCGCCCATTTGTCGCCGATCGGTGCCTTTGGTGCCCCACTCCGCCCAGGATCGTTCGGTTTGGATATCGAGGGCCCATCGCTGATCTCGGGCGGTCCTGCCCACCTCACCTCGCAGCTTCGGGGGCACCTCGTCTGTCCTGTCAACGGCGATTTGACGCGGCTTCGTCGCGAGCTCGTCGCGGACAGCGGGCGCAATGGGACAGACAAAGCCCCCCTTGATGCACCATAATTACGGTCAGGAGGTTTGCCTTAGCGTGTCGCGCCGCCGGTTCTGGCCCACCACGCCTCGGCGCCACACGCGAAGTACTTCCCGGCTCCACAAGCGTCAGCGTCCCGAACCTGTCCTCGGCTCCCCGCTCCCGTGGAACGGCGCGACGCGCTATAAGGTGGCAGGTCATGGCGCGTCGCCGGGGCTGCTGCCGCGACGCGCTACGCAATGCGCGAAGGGTCCCTGCCGTGACCCTCTTCAGGCGGTTGCGGGCCCCGCTGGGGCCGCCAGACTAAATTAGTTAATTCGGTGCACCTCCTCCTCCTCCGCCTCCTCCTCCTCCTCCTTTTCCTCCTCTTCCTTGTCCTCCTCCTCCTCCTCCGTCTTCTCCGCCTTCTCCTGCTCCTCCTCCATTCCTTCTCCTTATAATCAGCTTTTCCCTGTTGCACTCCGAGGCCAGTTTTTAGGGCGTGCCGGGCGTGTCGCCTGAGACTTTTTTTTCTCTTGTTGACCGTGTAGCTTCGAAATTGGCAACCGCTTAACAAATGGAGGGCAGGTTGTTTTCAAGATGTGGTTTTCGCCTCAGCGCGGCGCATGTTCGTTGTAACATGTACAAGAGTTTCAAACATTGAGGGCGGGTGGTTTTCATAAAGTGGCTATCGCCCTCGCGCGGCGCACATTTTTGCACATGTGCAACAGCTTCATATATTGAGGGCGGGTGGTGTTCAAAATGCGGTTCTCGCCTCAGCGCGGCGTACACTCGTTTTAAACATTTACAAGAGCCTCACATATTGACGGTGGGTGGTTTTCAAAATGTAGTTATCGCCTTCGCGCGGCGCCCATTCGTTTTAAACATATATATATATATATATATATATATATATATATATGTAAAAGAGCTTCACGGGTTGAGGGCGTTTTTGTTCCAAAATGTGGTTCTCGCCTTCACGCGGCGCACACTCGCTTAAAACATTTGCAAGAGTTTCACGGATTGAGGGCGGGTGGTTTAAAAAAATGTGGTTCTCGCCTTAGCGTTTTTTTTACATTGTGGTTTTCGCTTTAGCGCCGCCCACACTTTTGTACAACATGTGTACGAGTTTCACGGTGTTCCATCATCAACGCGCGAGAAGTTGTGTTTTGAAAGGATTCAGGACTATGCGGGTGCAACCGTTATGATGGTTCGTTTTGTGAAATCCCACGAATGGCGTTTGGGCACGATTCAGGATTGTCAAGACGCGACAGTCAGGTTGATCCGTGGCAGTCGAATCCCGAGAACAATGTGACGGCATGCTTCAGGGTCTTCAAAACGGTGTCTTCCAAAGAGGCAGTTCCCTCAATGGAAATGGGCCGTTGTAGGGGCCAGTGAAGAGGGAGCTTGGAAGGAGGGCCTATCCCAACATCGTTGATGACTCTTGGGTTTGCATTGGTATTCCTCCCCGTCTTCGTCCTCCTCCTCCTCCTCCTCCTCCTTCTCCTCCTCCCCCTCCTCCCCCTCCTCCCCCTCCTTCTCCTTTTCCTCCTCCTCCTCCTCCTCGTCCTCCTCCTCCTCCTCCTCCTCCTCCTCCTCCTCCTCCGCCTCCTCCTCCTCCTCCTCCTCCTCCTTCTCCTTTCTCCTCCTCTTTCCTCCTCTCTTCTCGGCCGCGGGGCGCCCTGTTCGCATGGTAAAACAAAGCGGCCCTCTTCCAGGCGCCCCTCGCCCAGAGCCGCCCGCCTCGCCTGCCGCGTGCTGCTCGGCGGCCGCCCGCGGCCACCAGTCCGTTCCACCCCCGCGGCGGCCGCGCCGCGCTGCCGGCGGCTGCTGCGGCAACTCGCTGCTCGTCGGGGGCTCCGCCGCGCCCAAAGCGGCTGCGGGTTTTGAGCGCCCTCTGCGCCTGAGAGCGGCCTTCCCAGGGCTCGTTTCGACTCCTCCGGTCCGATTCGGTGCGACGTCGATGGCTTCCGATGCCGATTCGGTTCGGCTTGGGATGCCGATTCGGGCTCCGATGCCTCAGCGGCGGCCGATCTCCGCCGATGCGACTCTTCCCGTTTCGGCTGCCGACCCCCCCCGATGTGGTTTGTGTCGAACGTGGATCGATGTATCGATTCGCTTCTGGGCTCTCCTGCCGTCCCGGACCTCGCCGCGTCGTGGACAGCTTCGTGCCCGGAGGGTCTTTCATGGTCTCTGCCCTTCGGGACTGTCGCCCACGGGGTCGTCAACAAAAGTACAGTCGGGGCGCTAAGGAGGAACCCTTTTCGTTGGGGAGGGGTTCCGTGTTCCTTGATTGTTCTGCAGTTTGCTTTTTGTTTTCCTGAGGTTTTCCATGGGAAATCGATGTTCAACGTATGGGAGAAAGGGGCCCCTTTCCTTATTTTGGGTTCCTTAGGTCAACGATCCGACTGTAATGATCTGGACGAGAGACAAAAGCCGGTTCGGGGGGAGAGGTGCAGACCCCTGGGGCCCACGGTGCAACAAATATCACGACGTCGGAGGTCTGCGGATGGTCTAGCTCTGGTCCTCGGGGCCCTCGACTGAACCCCTGGGATCAAGAAACATGAGTTCCGGATCAAAACAAGCCGGTCCTGGGGAAGATGTCGGGACCTCTGGGGCCCACGGCGCCACAATGATCGCGACGTCGGAGGTCTGGGGCCGGTCTAGCACTGGCCAGCGCCCTGGGATGTGGTCCCCCTCGCGCCCTCTTGGAGGCGGCCAAGAAGGGGGTGATGACGAGGGGGGGTTATCAGGGCCCGGGCTGGATTGCATGCTCCAGTTTTCATTGCAATGCGACCCCTTGGTAATTATTCCGCTCGTCAGCGCACATGCCTCGGGCCATGATCTGCGAGCCTCCTTCTTCGACGCACCCCTCGCTCGGTCGCCCCCAGCTCCCAGATGCCACGCACCAGAGGCCACTCTTGCCCAGGGCCGCTCCCTGATGGGCAACGTTGGGGGGCTTGGCATCGCTCGGACGTGTGCATTTTTCCTTCGGCGAAGACAATCGAGGAGCATCCTCGACCATGTGGCGAAAAAAACACGCACGAAACCGACAAAAAACACAGGAGATGGACGTCCGAGCGATGGCCAGGGGGGGGATCGGCCGAGGGATGCATCGACCCCCCACTCGGCCATTCACCGCCGATGGGGGCCTGCTAGTCCCTCCCGCCCAGGCAAGTCAGGAAATGGACGTCCGAGCGATGGCCAGTGGGGGGGATCGGCCGAGAGATGCATCGACCCCCCACTCGGCCATTCACCGCCGATGGTGATGATGAGGAGGATGAGGAGGAGGTGGGGGAGGAGGAGGAGGAGGAGGAGGGGAGGAGGAAGACCCCTACTCGGCCATTCACCGCCGCGGGGGGCCTGCTAGTCCTCCCCGCCCGGGCAGGTGCGGTTTCGGGACCGGGGGCCCGTCGCCGACTCATCGGCGATGCGTCGCCGCTGCCCGCTCGAAGTGTCCTCCCCCCCCCGGGGCCGCCATCCTCCTCCTCCTCCTCCTCCTCTCCTCCTCCTCCTCCTCCACCTCCTCCTCCTCTCCTCCTCCTCCTCCTCCTCCCCATCCTCCTCCTCCTCCCTCCTCCTTCTCCTCCTCCTCCTCCTCCTCCTCCTCCTCCTCCTCCTCCTCCTATTCCTTCTCTTCCTCCAGGTGTAAGGCCGGCGCCTCCTGAGAATCAGCCTTCTTCGAAGAAGACCTCCTCCTCCCTCCACCCCCTAGTGCGCGTCGCCAACAGCTGTTCGCCGACAGGGGCCCGATATCGAAAAAGAGAAAACGCCATACACATAAGCTTTTGGCGCTGCGCTCCTGGGCCCCTACCGGCGGCACCGCTGGCGCCGCCACTGGCGCGCTCCACGCGCCAAGGGGGGGTGGAGGGTTTCTCCGAAGGGTTTAGGCGACCCGTCCTCCTCCTTCTCCTCCTCCTCCTTCTCCTTGTCCTCCTCCAGTTTCTCCTCCTTCTCCTCCTTCTCGTTCCCCTTCTCCCCCATCCAACAATTCTCCTCCTCCTCCTCCTCCTCCTCCTCCTCCTCCTCCTCCTCCTCCTCCTCCTCCTCCTCCTCCTCCTCCTCCTCCTCCTTGGGTCGCCTACGGCCCCGGGGGAACCGTGCAGGGGGGGGAGGGTGCAGCGCAGATCCAAGAAATCCGCGCGGAGCGCCACAAGTTTGTGTTGATGGTTTATTTCCGTTCCTGTGATTGCCGACAGCGGCCCGATAGTCCAGCCCGCCCAGGAAGGTGCGGTGTTGGGACTGGGGTCGCCCATCGCCGATTTATCGGCGATGCATGGCCGAGAGACCCGGCGTCGTGATTTCTCTCAATGCGAGGTTCCTCAGAGTCTCGGCCCATCCCCCAGAAGAGGGTTCTCATCCCGAACCGTTTTTTGAAGGTCCCGGGGCCCGGCGAGGGCCCCTAGAGGCAGACAATGGCGAAACATCTCCCGTCCTGATTTCTTCATTGCTCGAGGGGGTTTGGGTACTCCAGATTTCGTAATAACCCTCCCCCGACCGGCCGCCAAATGGCGCCCGGCCGCGCGCGCTGCTCGCCTCCCCGACGCCGCAGGCGCTCGGGGTGGACGCCAACGCCGTCCGGCACGTGCCAGCCGAGGCGTTCACGGGCGATGGCCCCGCAGCTGCGGAGAGCGGGCTCGTCCGTTCAGAAACTTTCGCTCTTCGCGTGCCTGGCCTCCCCAGTCGTTGGCACTGGCGACGCCCGCATCAAATTGCATTCTATACGTGTATTATTGTCCTTCCTTTCAGTCCTCCTTCCCTGTCGCCGGAGGAGGAGGGGGAGGGCAGGAGGAGGAGGAGGAGGAGGAGGCGGAGGAAAGGGAGGGGAGGAGGAGGAAGCGGAAGAAAGGCGTGGGAGGACAGAAGAGCGAGGAGGAGGAGGAGGATGAGTAGTGGGAGGAGGACAGGAGAGTGAGGATGAGGAGGAGTAGGAGGAGGATGCGGAGGATGAGGAGGAGGAGGAGGAGGAGGAGGAGGAGGAAAAGGAGGAGGAGGAAAGGGAGGAGAGGACCGTGGAGGAGGAGGAGGAAAAGGGGGATTTGTGTGGTCTCGCGGAGGTCGTCTCCAATCATATAGCAGTGGGCTTGTGCACGGCCAGTTCGCTCCAGCCAGCTTGCTGCTGCTGCTGGTGCGATCCATTTTTACCATTCGTTCCGCTCCGCCCTGGCAGGAGGTGGCGGTGGGCGGTGGAGCCGCGATGAGCTCCACCGAGGACCCTGCAGTAAGCCGCTTCCGAGGGCGATCATGGGTCGAGCCCTCCGAGGAGGACGCGGCAGAGCCAGGCCCGTCGCCCGGCACGGGTGGCTGGGGAAGTGAACTGTTCTTATGTGCAGGATTCGTGGAGGTGCGCGTCTGTGCACCGACTGAACCCATGCTGATTGTGACGTTTCCGGAACCGGCTGCGTGCTGATGGCTTCGCGGCGCTTTCTTTTTGCGAAGCACAATCCTTGTCGACGATCCTCAGAGGTGCTTGGGATGAGTCTCGGAGTTCTGCAGGCACTAGAGCGGCTGTCCAACGCTTCTGCTACAACGCAGCGTCCCGTTGAGGCTTGTTTTCTTCATTTCCTTCCAGGTATTGTGGTGTTTTCTTGGCGCTTCGTCAGAACGTTTTTGTGACGAGGTATTGTTACCGTGCTCTTGCATTTGCCCAGGCTCGCACGAGGCTGAGGCGATGAAGCGCGAGTACGTTCATCCTTTTTGCCGGCGCGTGGGATTGGGGGATTTCTTTCGGGGCCCGTTGCTTTTTTTTTGATTTTTTTTTTGTTTTTTTTTCTTTTTTTTTTGTTGTTTTTGTCTTGTTTTTGTTTTTTTTTGAGTTTTTTCTTTTTTTTTTTTTTTTTATTTTTTTTTGATCATGTTTTTTTTATATTTGATTTCCTTTTTGTTTTAACTTATTTCAGATTTTTTTAGAAGGTTTTTGCGCGTGCATTGTCTGGAGTGTTGTCCATGAAGGGCGGCGGCTGCAGACGTGAACGTTTGGACGCGGTGAGGCGCGGGAGCACAGAGCATGGGAGGCGGTTCGTGCCAGTGGGTCGCACCGTGTCGCGCGTTGCTCGGGGTGCACGCACGTGCCGATTGCCAAACAGGCAGTAGCATCAGGGGAGCGGTCCTCGCGTTGGTCCGTTGGTAAAGCTATGTGACCGGGGGCGCAGGCCGCGCTGGTTCCACGTTCGGAAGACCTGCACGAAGGGCCCCGATTGCGAGTTCTGCCACCTGGAGCACAAACGTGCCGCCAGCTAGCAGCGACCGCGTTGGGGTGTGGTGCATTCGAAAAACGCACGGCGGAGGTCTGTTGAGGTGGCGCGCGCGAGCTCGTTCGGTCAGTATTTGTCTCGAGAGAGCATGGTGGGATCTCGGAACATACTGGGGAGCGCGCGTGAATAGCGGTGAAGGAAAGATCTGGCGAGCGGCCCCTTTGGCGCGAGGTACTGGCAAGCGGGGGCGGCAACGAGTCCAACGGACGTCCGCAGGCGCGCGCGCTCTCTGCGGGGCGCGCGCGCAGGGGTGTGTTTCGGCAGGACGGGCGCTGGAGGGTTTCACGATTACGTGACAGGAGGGTGGGTGGTGTGGGGTGGGGGGGGCGGGGGGAAGAAGGGGGGGGGGAAGGGGGCGGATGAATCTGGCGCGTACCCAAATTTTGGGAAGCCTCGTAATGAGACAATTAGCATTGCTTGGCATCTGTTGGCGTTCCATAGCATCAGAAGGCGTTGCTTGGCATTGCGTGCCATTGACAGGCAATGCGTGGCATTGGGAACCCGAAAAAACAAATCCCAAGGAACCACAGAGCAAAACCGAGGAACCATTGCCAAGGCACGAAGGACACAGCACCAAGGAGCCATTACCACAAATTTTGGGGACCCTCCCGGAGAACGCCTAAAACGGCTTCTCCTTTGTCCTCGTCCTCCTCCCCCCTCCCTCCGCCCCTCCTTCCTTTGTTTTTTTTTCCGAGAATGGCGACGGCTCCCCCGAGGAATAGGAGAAGTGGATGGGGGAGGAGGAGGAGGTGGAGGAGGCGGTGGAGGAGGAGGAGGAGGAGGAGGAGGAGTAGAAGGAGGAGGAGGAGGAGGGGATGGAGGAGGAGGAGGAGGAGGAAGAGGGGGAGGATGAGGAGGAGGTGGAGGAGAAGGAGGGGAAGATGAGGAGGAGGAGGAAGAAAGGGAGGAGGAGGAGCAGGAGGAGAAGAGGACGAGGAGCAGGAGGAGGACAACGGGATGAGAGAAGAAGGAGGAGTAGGAAAAAGGAGGAAAAGGAGGAGGATGAGGAGGAACTTAGGGTTGGACGGACTTTTCGTTAGGATCCAGTTGTCGTAGTTGTTGTTACTTTTGTAATCGTGTTTTCGTATTTTTTGGCCTTGGAGGCTACTGAAAAGTCGGGCCCGCGAGTGGAGAACAGCGTCGGGTAAGCCCGCGGAGAGCTCTGGGAGCCAGCTTCGAGCAGAATTTCGTCGGACGGAGCGCGGGAGGATGCCGTGGATCGACTCTGACCAGACTCGGAGCCTTTGGTGCGCGCCGGTGCTCCGTCCTTTCCTCCTCCTCTTGTTCCTTCTCCTCCTCCTGCTCCTCCTCTTTTCCTTCTCCTCCTCTTCCTCTTTTCCTCTGTTTCGTTTCATCATAATCGTTGCTGTCGTCGATGTCGCTGTCCGGCTCAGCTGGGCTATCCTGCGTTCGTCGGAGCCCATGGGGCGCAGGAGGAACACGCAGCCGGGCGCTCGATTGGCGCCGGCTGGGGCGGCGCCGGCAGAACCTGGCGCGGCGCCCGCAGTGCCGCAGCAGGAAAAGGGGAACAGAATACAGTAAATCGTCGAAGTGGATTTTTTTGTGTATCCCACTGGTCTTCGGTTCATCCCGCCGCCGTGTTTGGGTTGTTGGGCAGAAGCTTCGTGTTCGTTGGTTGAGGTCTCGCGGGTGGCCCGCCGGGTCCTCGGCAAACTCGACAGATGCACGCCTAAACCACCGAAAGCTTTAGCAATGTAATGTCCGGGCTGTGAAGAAATGAGTAGGATAGAGGATTGAGGAAAGGGGAGGCAAAGGCTCTGAAGGCGCGTTCACTTCGTGCCGACAGGGTTGAAATTGACGGGGAATATGGTGTTCCGTTAGGAGCAGGCGTCGGCGGCGCCAGCTCTGGGCGCTGTCGTCGCGGCGGCGAAAGCGCTCGAGGAGACCGTGCGCACGCAGGAAGCTGCGAGGGCGGCCAGGAAGGCAGAGAGGTCCCAAAAGGCAAACGAAAAAGAAGAGAAGAAGGCGCGGGAGAAAGAAGAAGCTAGGCAGGAGAGGCACAAGCAAGAGGAGCGGCGGCGTGAAAAGGAGGCTGCGAAGCCGAAGTGGAACCAGCTTCAGGAAGCCGAACAGGAGCGCGGGGGCGAGCCGAAGAAGGCACAGAGGAAAACCGAAGAAGAGGCGGAGGTGGTCAAAGAAAGGTTCGCCCATGGGTTGGAGGCGCTGGTGAAAGCCAAACAGGCAGCGCAAGGGTGCCAAAAACGGGCCCGGGAAGCTGAGGAGAAAGCCCAAGCGACGGAAAAGAAGGCCAGGGCGCTGACAGCCGCCGCCAAAAGTTACGCGCGCCGGGCGCGCGAGGAGGCGGCGGCTTCGCGCGAAGCAGGAGAGAAAGAAGTGGCAAAGGCGCGGGAGGCGCGGGAGCTCGCCGAGGCAAAGCGGGCGCGCGCCGAGCAGCTGGCGGAGCAGGACGAGGGCGGTAAAAGGGATTGTCGTCAGAGGAGGACGGATCGCAGCAAGCATGTCAGGAATTGCTTGTTTTTTTATGAGTTATACTATATTATTAGGCTTTTTTTTTTTTTTTATTTTTTTATATTTTTTTAAGGTTGGCCCGGAACTCCTCGTCCGAAAATCAAGGCATTACCGCAGGCTTCATTTCCCCCCCCTATGTTTTACTATTTATTCTGTTTAATTTTTATTGTTTTTTTTTTTTTTTATTTTTTTATTTTTTTTTATTTCTTTCTTCTCTCTTTTTTTTCTTTTTATTTTTGTTTTTCTCTTTTTTTTTTTTGTTTTTTTTTTTTTTTTTCTTTTTCGCGCCAGGCGGAGGAGAGCCGGGATATCGAGATGGAGAAGCGGCAGGCCCTGCAGAGGGAGGTGCAGCATCTCCAGGCTCTCGTGAAGGCGGAGTGCGACGCGAAGTTGCGGGCGCGGTTGGTTCCGCGGTGAGCCGGCCGCTAGAGTGACGTCCTAGAAGGATTGCTAGTGGGTAAGACTGATGTCGGTGGTAGTAGTAGTCTTGGTACTACAAGTAGGAGTAGTAGTACAAGTAGTAGTGCTACGAGTAGTAGTAGCCGTATTAGTAGTAGTAGTAGTACTAGTAGTAGCAGTAGTAGTAGTAGTAGTAGTAGTAGCAGTCGTGGTAGTGGTGGTAGTAGTAGTAGTAGTACTAGTAGCAGTGCTAGTCGGAGTAGTAGTAAAGGTAGTCGTAGAAGTAGTAGTAGTAGTAGTAGTAGTAGTAGTAGTACTAGTAGTAGTAGGAGTAGTAGTATTCGTAGTAGTAGTCGTAGTGGTCATGGCAGTAGTAGTAGTACTAGTTGTACTCGTACTAGTAGTAGCAGTAGTAGTAGTACTAATAGTAGTAGTAGTGGTAGTAGTAGTAGTAGTAGTAGTAGTTGTAGTAGTAGTAGTAGTAGTAGTAATACTACTAGTAGTAGTCGCACTAGTAGTAGTAGTAGTAGTAGTAGTAGTAGTAGTGGTAGTAGTAGAAGTACTATTAGTAGTAGTATTAGTAGTAGGAGGAGTAGTAGTAGTAGTAGTAGTAGTCGTAGTAGTAGTAGTAATAGTCGTGCTCGCAGCAGTAATCGTAGTAGTACTAGTACTAGTAGTAGTTTGTACTAGTAGTACAAGTAGTATTAGTAACAGCAGTAGTCGTATTATTATTAGTAGTAGTAGTAGTATTAGTAGTAGTAGTAGTAGTAGTAGCAGTAGTAGGAGTAGTATTAGTGAAAAGAGTTGTTTTAGTAGTAGCAGTAGTAGTATGAGTAGTAGTAGTAGTAGTAGTTGTTGTTGTTGTTGTAGTAGTAGTAGTCGTAGTAGTAGTACTAGTAGTAGTAGTAGTCGTCGTAGTAGTAATAGTAGTAGTAATAGTAGTACTGGTAGTAGTAGTGGTAGTAGTAGCCGTAGTAGCAGCAGTAGTAGTAGTAGTAGTAGTAGTACCAGTAGTAGTAGCAGAAGCAGCAGCAGCAGCAGTAGTAGTAGTAGTAGTAGTAGTAGTAGTAGTAGTAGTAGTAGTAAGAGTAGTAAGAGTAGTAGCAGTAGTAGTAGTAATACTAGTAGTCGTAGGTGTAACAATAGTAGCTGTAGGGATAGACGTACGAGGAGTCGTAGGTGTGTGCTCCTCCTCCTCGTCCTTCCCCTCCTCCTCCTCCTCATCCTCCTTCTCCTCCTGCTCCTGCTCCTCCTCTTCCTACTCCTCCTCTCCCTCCTCCCCCTTCCTCTTTCCCTCCTCCTCCTCCTTCTCTAGGAGAGCTCTTCACTTGTGAGTGTGTTTTCCCCAGGGATCGTGGCCCTGGGAGCGCGGGAGGTCCACTCCATCTTGCGTTGTCATTGTGTGTCCCGACAGCCGCCAGGATTCGACGATTTTCGGCGGGGGCCTTCGGGGCGTGCACTTCCTTTTGTTTTTGTAAGGAACGGCCGTGGCCCCGGCAGCGCGCACCCCCGCTGAGTTACGAAGGCGTCGTGGCCCCGGGGGCGCGGATCCCTTGTAATTCACGAGGGGCCTCTGCGCTGAGAGAGCGGCGCCCCCGGTCCTTCCGCGGCCGACCGGGAGGAGGAGGAGGAGGAGGAGGAGGAGGAGGAGGAAGAGGGAGGAGGGAGGAGGGACGAGGGACGAGGGAGGAAAGAGGAGGGACGAGGGAAGAGGGAGGACGGAGGAGGGGGGAGGGAGGAGGGTAGGAGGGAGGAGGGAGGGAGGGAGGGAGGGAGGGAGGAAGTGAGGAGGGGAGGACGAGGAGGAGGAGGAGGAGGGAGGCGGAGGAGGAGGCGATGTGGGGGAGGGCGGAGCCGGAGCCGAGCGGGAGGAGGGAGGAGGGAGGAGGGAGAGGAGGAGGGGAGGGAGGAGGGAGAGGAGGAGAGGAGGGAGGAGGTGAGGAGGGACGATGGAGGAGGAGGAAGGAGGAAGGGAGGAGGGAAAGAGGGAGGAGGGAGGGGGGAGGAAGGGAGGAGGGAGGAGGGAGGAGGGAGGAGGGAGGAGGAGCGAGGGGGGGGGAGCGAGAGAGAAGGAGGAGGGAAGGAGAGGGAGGGAGGAGTGGAGGAGGAGAGGAGAAGGAGGAGGGAGGCTAAGGAGGAGGAGGAGGGAGGAAGGAAGGAGGAGGAGGGAGGAGGGGGAGGGTTGGCGATGGCTAAGGGAGGGGGGAGGAGGAGGAGGAGGAGGAGGAAGGGAAGAAGGAGAAGAAAGAAGGAGAAGTAGGAGGGAGGAGGGAGGGGGGGGGGGGGGGGGAGGGCGGCCTAGAGGGAGGGGCAGTGGGGGAGGGGAGGGTGTGGGAGGGGAGGGAGGGAGAGAGGGAGAGGGAGGGAGAGGGAGGGAAAGGGAGGGAGAAAGAGGGAGGAGGAGGGAAAGGGAGGGAGGGGGAGGGAGGGGGAGAAGCCCTTCCCATCCCTCCCCCTCCCACCGCCTCTCTCCCTCTCTCTGCTTCGGGTCGCCGGATAAGCCCTTCCCTTCTCTCCGTGCTTCGAGTTGCCAGGCTCGCTCTGGAGGGGCACCTCCGCGGTTCGGGGCCTCGCTCCCGGGGCCGGGGCGTGCCAGGGGGGCCATCGTTGTATTCGTAATAGCATGAGTTGTAATAGTCGGAGTAGTTGGAAGAGAGCTGGACGGCAACGCTTGCCCCTCGCAGTTGTAGGCAAGGCGGCTTCCTGTGAGGGCGTCGCCGATACCTGGTGCTACGGCGAAAAGGCGGTGTCTGAAAGACGGAGCGGACACGAGGATTAAGGGGAGCGAGGAGGAGGAGGAAGACCGGGAGAGGAGGGGGGGAGGGAGGAGGAGGAGGAGAAGGAGAGGAGGAGGAGGAGGAGGAGGAGGAGGAGAATGAGGAGGAGGATGAGGAGGAGGAGGCGGGAGGAGAGGAGGAGGAGGACGAGGAGGATCAGGATATGGAGCAGGAGGAGCACCGGGGAGGCAGGGAGGGGAGCAGGCGAATCGGGGAAGGAGGTGCGGGCCCAGGGGTGGGAGGAAGCGGACGGAGGAGGAATGGGCGAAGGATGCGGAGCTCGCCGCGCGGTGCATTCGTGTCACGTTTATGAATGTTTGTATGTCGACATATGTGTGTCTGCTCATTGAATTGCGTTTTTACCAAAGGGGCTCTGCGTCCTGGTGCGCCGTCGAAAGGTCGCCCATTTATTCGTGGTATAAGCCGTTCGGAGTCAGCCGTTGTCTGACCGGCCAGACAGGGAGGATGTGGCGGAAGAGGAAGAGGAGGAGGAGGGAAAGAAAAAGGTGGAGGAGGAGGAGGAGGTGGAGGATAGTAGGAGGAGGAGCAGGAGGAAGAGGAGGAGGAGGAGGAGGGGGAGGAGGAAGGGGAGGAGGGGGGGGAAGGGGAGGAGGAGGAGGAGGTGGAGGAAACAGAGGAGGGAGAAGAAACGAGAAGGAGGAAGTGGAGGATGGGGGAGGAGGAGGAGGAAGAGGAGGAGGAGCAGGAGGAGGAAAGGGAGAAGGAGGAGGAAGAGGAGGAGGAGGACGAGGAGGAGGAGGAGGTGGAGGAGGAGGAGGAGGAGAGGGGGGAAAAAAGGTTGAGGAAGAGAACCGGGGAATGAGGGAGAGGGAAAGGAAGAGGAGGAGGAGGAGGAGGAGGAGGAAGAACGGGAGGAAAATAACTGAAACGAAGCGGGGGTCGGAGGAGGAGGGTCGGGTCGAGGAACTCGCCGCGCGCTTTGGCTCAAGGCTCGTCGTCGCCTTGAGCGGCTGCAACAGAGCCCGCGGGCCTGGGCGCGCCCGTGGCCTTTGGGCGGGCGGCCGCGCGGGGTGGCCATGGCGCACCTACGCGAAGAAACGGTTTTCACCGGTTTGACCGAATCAAACCGAGGCCTTACCAGCGGGCTTAAAACGCTGAGGTCCGTACCGGGAGGACTTAAATCACCCGAGGCCCTTGCCGGCGGGGTTGAAACGCCGAGGTCTTCGGACTTACGAAGTGGGGGCTGTGAAGGAGGGCGGCCCTGCTTTCGGAGCTCTGAGACGACAGTGGTACGCCTTGGCGTGCACATCGGAGAACTCGAGGTGACTGTTGGCCGTGGAGGCTCGCAGCGTCTTTGGTGCTGGGCGGAATTGCGCAACGAGCGCGATGTGTTTACTGTCGACGAAGCTGCGTGGCCGGGCGTGATCAAGCATGAAGGCCCTGCGAGGCCGCAACGCAGCGTGGAGGTTTCAGACTGGGGGCGTGGCTTGCACCGCGGCGCGTGTAAGGGTGCGCCCAGTGCGGCGGCGACGCTGGCGTCACGTCCTGTGGCCTCCGACCTCGCGGCGGACGCTGGCGTTCGCGGAGGTTCGCGAAGTGATCTCCATGGGGCGCGCGCTGACGGAGTGAACAGCAGCGCAAGGTACGGTCGCACTCCATCGCGGACGCTGCAGCAAGAAGCGCTCGCCGAGATGGAACGAGGGGGCCAGGGAGCCGTGGTCGTCGTGCGTCGAAGTGAAACTAGGATCGATGCGTTACATACTCTGGAGGAGGCCCACGTGCATGGCTCCCGCAACAGAAAGCTGTGTGCGGGTCGGTTGCGTTGCGCGCAAAATCTACGCGCCGACGGCACATTCATCGTCCGACCACTCCAGGTGGGCGGAGTATACGACCATACGGGCGTGGCGAACTGGGCCTCAGGCAGTGCCCTTGCCGGATGCGCGGTCGAACAGGACGGAGGCCTTTGCAGCGCCACCTGGGGGAATTGGTCTGGGGTGACCCTGACGCTTGCGCACGCGAATGCATCCCCTGCTGTTGCACTGTTGGAGGTGTGCGCCCAGCTGGGGTCGAGGACCGCTGTGCGGGCGCTGAAGCTCTGTCGTGCTGCTGCTGGTCGATGTCGCGTTTGTGATTTGGGTGCGGTTGCTGGCCGGTGTCGAGTTGCTGGCCGACTCGTGTATGCAGACTGTGGGTGTAAATATGAGAGGGCGTCACCGTCGCGGTCTGGTGGAATTGGTATCAATGTTGAAGACGACTTCGGTTATTGTGGTGGCGGTGCTC